TGAATGCAAAGAGAAGAGGCTCCCTGCCCCCTGCACGCCTTGCGCCGCAAAGGTGAATGACATTGAGAGGGGTGTCAGAGGTCAAACAGGGCTTGCCACACCCACTTGACTGTGGGTTTCGTGGCTCCCTACAGATGTACATTGCAAGGCCACTGAGCAGCAACAGGAGAAAACTGCAGGTGCTCTGTGAGGGAGGGGTCTTTCCAGACCCTTTTCAGGCATATTTGAGAATTCCATGTTACAGTGCCAGGCTCTGAGGGCTTTAGAATATATGTTTCCACATTGTGGCTTATTTAATGGTGGTGGTTTCTCTGAAATGTATTCTTTAATGTTACCGTGGTAGCGTTATGCGGTGAGTAAACAATAAAGAAATACGTCCATTGATCTGAGCTGGTGGTTCAAGCCAGCGTACGTTTAAGGAAATGCTGCTAAATGCTTGTGTGACAGTCCTACAAGCATCAAAGAGAGTGAACTTCCTACTGGAGGGCCGGTTGGTGTGTTGTTTTCTGTTTAATCATCTTCATTTTTGGGCTAGAACATCCAGTGAGACGTAGATCTTGAAGTACCCTAACGTGTGGCCCTGGATGGATGTTCTTAAACCCGTTGCAACTGAGTAGAAGGATGTTTGTGCAGTACTTTCCTTCTGCATAGGCGCATGGCCTGTGAGTGGGAAGGCGGGAGGAGCGGGGAGGGGAGCGCATCAGATCAGAGAACGGGTGTGATTCATCCTGGTTCTGCACTGCGTTTGAGGCTGCACCTCAGTGTCTTCTTTCCTACCAGCCCATCTTCACTTGGATTCTGTAGGGAATTGTATTGCAGGACCTGCGGTTGCTGCAGCATCGCTTCGGCGTGATTTACAAATCGTCCCGTCACTCAAGCATCATAGAGAGTGAATTCTGTTTTAAACCCAATCTTCTCCTCCCTGCGTTATTCTTGTAATACAGATATTTGTGCGGAGGGGATACAGATTGGATCTTGCAGTCCAACTAAATCAGAACAAATAGATGGTTTTAAAGCTCTAGGATGCGTTCCAGCAACTTTGTTTTTGTTTTTGCTTTTTTTGGGGGGAGGTTATATTAAATAAATATATTTCCTGCCTGCTTTTTGAATCAGTCAAGATTGATTCCAACGCACAGGAACGTCAATCCACAGGAATGTATAGTTGTGTGAGTGGTGTGAGATTGTTGCCTTTTGCCCCCCCCCACGATCCTCTCCCTTTCAGACTACAGTACGGAGGATCTGCAGATGGAATTGGGTTGGTTGAGGTAAAGGTGGCCATGTCTTGATCCCAGCCCTAAACCAGCAATAATGAGGATTCCAGTCGCTGCTGTGGTTTCCCTGTAAATCTCTGCATTTATTTGGTGATTTGGGGGCCCACCTAATGGTGCATTTCCCCCATCCTTTCTGCTTTTCTTGGTGCCCTGTTTGGCCTCTTTCCTTCCCTCCTTGCCATCTGAGCACCCTCCTTCTGCAACTCCATGCTTTCCTGTTTGCGATGGCTTTAATTTGTGCTTCTTAAATACAACGGATGACACATAGCTTATTTTGGCACAGTGGACATTTTTATAGTTTCAGAACGTCTTTAGCCAAAAAGGAGCCCTACGCCTGTTTCTTTTTCCATCTCGGCCTCAGTTGCTCTCTCTCTCTTAGCCCTGCAGTGATAGGAGCGAAGCAAGAATTCCTTGGCTTTCTGTTTGGAGAGCCCTCATAAGCCGAGGATGGGTGTGGAAGAGCCAGATGGGCTATTCCCACCCCTTGGGGGAAAACTTGTGTGGACACCTGGAATTGGCCCAATTTCCAAGCCAAGTCCTTATTTGACCAGGGTTTTTTTTAAAAAAAGAGAAGGTACACATGACTTTTGCCTGTTGTGCAATCACTGTAATCTGAGAAATACCCTTGTCAAGGAAGAGTGCTTCAGAGCTGCTGTCCTGCAGTAACAAATGCTGTAGCCCTGGATACTTTTCTGTGGACAACCCTTTGATGCTTAATTCTCAGAAGGTATGCATCAGACCGAACTGTGAACCAGGAACTCCCCCACCCTCCAAATCTTTTTACTTGTTAACTCATCCACCTCTCTCAACCAAATGTTCTCCAGGCATGATATCCTAAAATTCTCATCTAGGATGTTGAAAGGAGTGGGAGGCTGGCTTTAGATAAGCCATCAGGCTCTTGAGTTTCAGGCCCTGCGTGCAGTGTAGTAGCATCTGTAACGTACTGTAGATTAAGGCAGGCGTCACAGAGATTCCTGGGGAGATCCTTAGAATGTCTGGAGTGCACTTTTTGCAGATATGAGGTGCTGTAACTTCTGAGTCCATTGTGTAGATAACTTCTAATTGTTGGTGGGTTTTTTCCTGAGAAGTCCCCTTCCGTTGGCAGGACCTCTGATGGCCAACATCTTAACAAACCATGGAAGCTGTGTTTAAGATTACAGTAGGAAGGTCCTTGTTCCCTTACCAATGACTTTTTTGAGGGTTAAAGACAACCTACATTATGCACTGAAGCAAAATTTATATGCCCGTGTGTGTATATATGTCTGTATATAAATATATATGTATTTGCAGATATGTGGGTTTTATGTACTGTGTTTATATATAATATTTATATACTGCTGACTCCATGAGGACTCATAAGTTTACAGCATCCCATGCAAATCAATAATATATAAAACCAATGGTCTACCTCTATCTCTGCAATCCAGCAACAGTCTTAGGTATTAAAAGCTCTGTTTTCCTGAAGGCCATGAGAAGGGCACCATCTGAGTTTCCGGGGAGAAGTTATTCCAGAAGGAAAGATTGAAGACCAAAAATCCCCCCCCCAAATTTCATATATGGGGGAAGACCCTTGACATCCCAACTTAAGACAAGTGAATTGGATGGGTGGGTTGTACCTGGAGGAGGTGGTACTAAGGATGCTTGGGTGCCAAAGAATTAAGGGCTTTGTAGATTAAAACCAACAGACACTTGGGTGTATAATATATTCACACATACATATTTGCAAATATGTGGATTTGGGGATCACATTTTTCATCTTTAGGTTGTCAGAGGCACATTTGCTAAGCAAGGGGGCTTCAGTAAATGGTCTTTTTGCACATTTTCCAAACTGTTTTCCTGTAATCACCGGGAACGCGTTTTTAAAATACTGCAAGTTGATCATTCCATCGGGCACAGAAGGTTAGGGAGAGATTGTCATGACAAGCATGGGTCTGGCTAGTTTTGCTCCTCACTCTGAGGAGTCCACTGAGTTAAATTCTAGAAAATCTGTTTTAAGAAAAATGACATGCCAGACCAGTTAGTAATCTTAATCAGGTGGGATCACCTGGAAAGACAACAGAATTTTTGAAAAGATCAAGGAAGTGTCTAATATGTGACAAGAGATGAGGAAGTAGTTGTGTGTAAGAATCTTCAGAGAATCTGGTTGCCCAAGAGTTTTCTCTCTCTCATTAGCAAGGGCAATGTCTGTGTCTTCTCAAGTCTCTTCAGATAGGTAAAACCTAAGTGTGGCCAGCAAGGAAGGTGCAGACGGACTGATGGTTGCAGCGTGGTAGATGACGTTTGCCCTAGTGTTGAGCTTGCTCCCAAGTAAGCAAGTAGAGCTGAAGTAAGTGTTTTGCTTCGGAGGATGGATTCTGGAAACTCCCACCTCTGATTAGGAATGCCAGAAGGTGACTTTGCCACTTGAACCAGAACAAATGCCAGGACAACCTTCAGCGCACCTGTTGAGAAGTAAGCACCGCTGTCTTAATGCATCTTCCTGGCCATAGGAGGTGTCTAATTTACCAGCCCTAATTTCCGCAGTGATCCTGATCGTTGAATTACATCCTGTCTGCGTATGTCCGTTCTGTCCATAATTTCATTGCAGATTTAATCAGAGTGACCTTGCTTAATGAAAAAGAAAGACTCTGTTGATGCAAACCTTGCCAGTTCACTTTACAAATTAGGAAGTTTTGTATGAGATGAAGGACAGTCAATGACAAATTAAGGGTTTATTCTAGAAGGATAAAAGGCAAATCACCAAGGAACTCCTTTGAACTTTGCCACTGCGTAATTATTCAGCAGTGCTGACCTTGGGATAATGGCTCCCTCACTGAATAGTCTTTCTGCTCAGCCTTAAATCTCTTTTTGCAGTGCCAGTTTTTCTTGAGAAGATCCAGCCCTTTAGTTTGCTGGATGGGTTGATTGCTGGCTGATGCAGAAATGGGCGGATAAGTCTTAATGACCCTTTGCCATTTGTAGGCATGGCTGCAATGCCTAATAAAAGGCTCCTGTTGTTTTTCTTGGTCATAAGCAGCTTTTGCAAATGGGAACGTAAAACTCTAACTTGGTGTTTCTCAACCTTGGCCGCTTGAAGACGTCTGGACTTCAACTCCTAGAATTCCCCAGTTAGCATGCTGGCTAGGGAACTCTGGGAATTGAAGTCCAGACATCTTCACATTGCCAAGGTTGAGAAACACTGCTCTAATTAGTTTGGGGGTGCTCAGAGCTTTTTGCCATCAGCAAAGTCCCTTCCCAAATGCCTCTCCTTTTTTGGGAGGTCCTAGCCTTCAGTTCAGCACTGTCATCCTCTGCAGCTTGCCACATCATTATAATCGAGGTGTACATAATACGTCATAGGCAGTAACTCTGGGGACCAGGCGGGTGTCTTCTCTTCAGATTGGAAAAACGTCAGAATGGATCGCTGTTTCCTAAGACAGAAAACACAAACCTCATGCTATTCCGTTCTTGAGAAATGGCTGCTTTGCAACTGAGTTCTGACAACTTGGGAGGAGGTTTAATGTGTGTTTCCTTGGTGCAGAAGGAAGGAATGGCATTGCAATTGTGTTGGGTGCTGCCTGGAATAGAGGAGGGGGTGGCTTTGTTGCTGTGTGGCTTTTTGGTGGGGGGAATACTAGAAAAAAATTCTGCGTACTATTTAGGGGAGAAGTGTGATTCATGCCAGTCTGTTGAGTTGTAACATGTTGACAGATTACATAGGTCATGCCAATGTCAGCTTTCATTATTATTTCAGCTGGGATCATAAATAAAGGGCAGTTTACAGATTAGCAGGCTTCACTTTATGTAATAAATCAGTTTTAACTTTTTGGCCAGAGATTAGTGGCTTTTTGTTCCAAAGGAGATATTCCTTAAGCAGATTTCCTGATTAGTGACTCATGCAGCATCCTGAATGATGCTGTATGATGATCTTCCTAAATACAGTAAAAGATAAAATTTGTAGTGCTATGTTGTTAATCAGTCAGCTGACTTCTCTTAGAATAAATAAGAAAATGCCCCATTCTACCTTTCCATGTATGTCTGTGGGTTGTTATTTATTACAAACATTTTCATTTTCTGGAACACACAATATCCAAAAACTCAGCTACCTGTTATAAATGCAGCCAGCTGATTCTGCTGCTTCACTTCCTTTTTTCAGTTTTGTGCTTCAGTTTAGTTCAGTTGGGATGTGTCTGTCCCTTTATCCTGCATTTCGGAAATGAGTGGCTTTATAGAAGTGAGAAAATCTTGTAGAAAAACTCCAGAAAAGAGTTAGCAGGGGCTGTCCGTGGTCCTGTTGAGAGCTGCTCTACTTTTCTGCTTCTGCAGCCCATACGTCATTGCATCAGTTCCCTGTTTGGGCTTTTGCAATAAAAAGTGATGCTCTGTTGCAGTGTTTCTCAACCTCAGCAACTTTGAGATGTGTGGGCTTCCGATGCTGGCTGGGGAATTCTGGGAGTTGAAGTCCACACATCTTAAAGTTGCTGCGGTTGAGAAACACTGCTCTGTTGCATTCCTTCCTGTGTGGCATCAACTCAGAAAGTGACTACTTTAGAAAGCTCCTTTTAGAAATGTTGATAAAGTAAGAATACCCAACCAGTCTTTACTACCTTTCCACGTTTATCCAATTGCCACCCTTTGCACTGAGGAATTCGAAGGACCAACTTTTATTTCTCTCTCTCTCTTTTTTTAAAGGGGTTGCAGATGGTGTTGGTGGCTGGCGAGACTATGGCGTCGACCCGTCTCAGTTCTCAGGGACTCTGATGCGCACTTGTGAACGTTTGGTAAAGGAAGGACGGTTTGTGCCTAGTCATCCTGTGGGGATTCTCACCACAAGCTACTGCGAGCTGCTGCAGAACAAAGTCCCGTTGCTTGGTAAGAAGAGGAGTCCCCCAGCCCTCCCCTTCAGCTTTCCCTCAACAGTCATGTTGATGTTTGTCCTCACCAGCCATGTCTATTTTTTGTGGAATTTTTTAAGTCCCTGCACTTATTTGTTACTCCTGGAAGTTTCTGTTAAGGGTATAAGCTAGGAAGCCTCTTATCAATTTCCTTTCTTGATCTCAATATGTTTTGCATTCACACATCATGCTGAGTCAGAGTTTGCTGTAACCATAGTTTGGGCATAAGCAAAACAATCATGGCTTGCGTAGCCCTTGTTTGTTCTCCCTATGTCTTTGAATAACAAGAAGTGGGCCAAAGGCAAGACCCCAAAAACACTGAGCGACAAGTTAGGATGAAAACAAGCCAAGCTTTGTAAACTAACATGCTATGGCTCTAAATTGGTTGCTGCTAAAAATAAATCATGCTTTCTTTCACGGGAAGCATTTGTATATCCCATGAAGACAAGAACAAAGAAATTAGACGTCGGGTAATTCTGGGTGAACCTGGCCACTGAGGAGTCTAGGAAAATCAAGTTCTCTTTTGGTGTTGCTCCCTCTCCCTCTCGCCCTTGTAACGTTTGGATAATCTTGATGGACTTTTCAAGGGTTGACTGAAGTCACTGACAGGCTAGCTGGCTCGTTAAGAAGAATCTGGAACCCACAACTGTAACTCTCCTATTATTGGGACCAGTTAATCACTGCAGTTCTTTTTGAGATGGAGTTTCAGCCGTCTCAAACGAAGGAAAAGGATGCGCTGGGCATAACAACACTGTAATGGTGATTTTAAGGGCTAGCCAGAGAACCTAGGAAATCACTGGAATGCCCGTCAGGGCAAGATGAATGCTGGCATTGACCCTTTAGAGGGTTGCTCTAGTGTTCTCTATTTCTAATTGTTCAGTTTTTGAAAAAATCCAAGCTGCTTAGAAATACGGTAGCCCTCCTGAATTTACAGAATTGGTATTGGGAGATTCAACACTTTCAGTATACAACCAATTGGCCTCTGCTTTCAGCATTTCAGAGCCTGGTTTTCTTAGCCCAGGCAATGTCAACGATGCTGTCTTTGAGGACATTTGGTTTCCCTGTTCTTCCCCCAAAAGATTATGTATCCATGGAGCATGCTCTGAACATCTCCCATCCTTCTGCAGTTCTTTGAGGATTATTTCCATTCCTCTATTTTTTATTTTTTTATTTTGGTACATCTGCAAACTTTGTTTTTCCCTAAGCAAGCCAGTGATTTCTTGTGTCCCCACTGATCCTATCTTGGCTTCAGTCCCGTTAGAAATCAACTGGTGGGGTCCCCAGGCACAGCTACATTTTATCCTTATTACTGAGAACCAGCCTGGCCGATGGAAGCTGGTAACCTTTTGCCCAGTGATCGCTGTGTGTGCTTCTCACCTGATTCAAGGGTTCTCTTCCAAGAAGCTTCTGTCTCTCTCTTAATATGTGTTATTTTTAAGTGAGCTCAGCTGAACCCAGGAGCAGCCATCCCCCTTTTCATTACATGCCTCACAAACAGTCTTTGGCTGGAGAATTTTCTCTTCGGGTCAGTTGAAACACCGGGAGCTGTTGAAGTGCCTCATTCTCCAATGACACTGTTAGTTTTGGTGCCAAAGTCCTCATTACAGTGGAGGCTGCCAAGGAGTCCTCTCAAGGAGAACGCCTGCCCAGAGCTACACCACGAGAGCTCCGCTTCTCCAAGAGGAGCACCAAGACTGCCTTTGGAGGAACATTTGTTAGCGTTATTTAATTAGAGCATTTGACTCCTTAATCTCTCGGGGTTTCGTATCTTTCTCAAAACGGCTATGAAATTTTCTCTTACCCTAAAACTTGTTCCTGATTGGTTCCTGCATCGATGGCACTGTTTGTGTTGTCCAAACGTTTATCTAACAGTGTGGGCTGAAGGCACAGAACGCAGCACTCACACTCTTGTTGAAGCGGGGGGGAGGTTGCCCATCTTTGCAATTCATCAGTAAAAGGAGGCAGTGACTAGGACTGCCGTGAACCTGGCTGGCCGTTTGCCGGTTTTGAGAAGAATTAAGCAATTGCTTTAAAGTGGCTTGAAATACCAGCCCTAACCAGAGCCGTTTTGACTTGTCAAGAAGGAAAAAGCAATGTACGCTCACTAAAAACAGCACACAGCCATGGATTTAAAAATAAGCTGGAAGCAACTGGTCGAAATTCTCAGTTTGGGGCATTTTTACCTAATTTGTGCCTCACTCCAGCTTTTGTTCCAAGGTAGATGTTTCAGTAGCTTAAAACCCTAACAGTAGATGTTTCAGAAGCTGGACTGTGTGTGTGGCTTGTTGGGGGGGGCGTCATTAGACCCCTAGATAAAAGCAGCTCCCTGACATTTCCCACTAGGTAAACGTTTGACTCTCGTCTCTAGGGAGCAGCACAGCTTGCATTGTGGTCTTGGATCGGACAAGCCATCGTTTGCACACGGCCAATTTGGGGGACTCGGGCTTCTTGGTCGTCAGAGGCGGCAGAGTGGTGCACCGCTCTGATGAGCAACAGCACTATTTCAATACTCCGTTCCAGCTCTCGATAGCGCCGCCCGAAGCCGAGGGCGTCGTCTTCAGCGACAGGTAGGGCTTTCGGGGGGACTTTGCAAGAACGGAGGCGGCCTGTCCTTCGGCCAGTCGGTCCATAGGGGACCTTCGGGAGCAGCTGTGTTTGTGGCACATGGTTTCCACCCAGCGGAGACTGGGCTGGAGTTGCCTATCCCAAGAGTTTTAGCTGCTGAGGGTTCCCCCCCCCATTAATTTTTTTGTCCTTCCAAGGACGGCAGACGCTCTTTGGTTATATCTGATCCCAAACCGTGGCGTGGGAAGGGACTCTTTTAAGTGGATTCCCTTCTCTTACTGGTTTTTGGGGGAGGTGGGTTCTCATGCAATATTCCTCGCCTCCCTTTCTGCTGCTGATTGTCGGTTTGCAGAGCTCATGAGGCAAACGCAAAGCCTGGTGCAGTTTTGCGGCAGCCCTTTTTACACTCCCGGGTCTGGGCTGATGGATCCCCTCCTTGGACAGTGACAGTCAAGGCGTCTTTCACGTTTCCCCCGGCGACTTGTTTGCAAAGCAAAGCCACGATTGTGTGTTGTGAGGGGAAATATTTACTTGGCTGCAGGGAGTGTGTTTAGTTTAAAAACGTAGCAGGGTACATGCTGTATTGTATTTAGAGGGCATAACTGAATTACGGGGACGGATGATGAGGGAGTGTGAGTGAAGAAGCTCAAAAAGGTGGCCTGCGGATCAAGACGAGGATGCCCAGAAGGCTGCCATGGCTTGGCTTTGTGCGTGAGGCTTACAGTGGCTCCTGTGCTGCCTGGCTCAGTCGGGGACCTCCTCCTCTTCTTGGGATTTGGAATAGGAATCTGCTGCTTTTTTACATACCCGAGCAATGAGGCAGCACGTACTTGACAGACAGAAAGGGAAGCACGTGACTTCAGCTTGGGTTTCAGCACCGTTGAAAGTTTCCAGCACTGCTGGATGCCGAGTCAACTCCCACTTGGCAGAACACGAAGCTCTGCCAGAGGAGCGCTGGAAAAGCACATTTTGTCCAATGGGAGCTACGGCTGAAAAGGGTACATACATCATACAAAGAACTGGAGCAAGGTTTCTCTCTCCCTTTGAGGAAAACCTTTCAAGCAGTGTTTCTCAACTTTAAGATGGGTGGAGTTCAGCTCCCAGAATTCCCCAGCCAGCAAGGGTTGTTGATCAAGGCAGAATCTTTTAAGACACCTTTTTGGGACTCTGGCTGTGTCTGATGAACCACTTTTCTTAAGAATGCAGACAGGCTTTTCTCATCAAAACCGTAGGGCCCACTTTCCTGAGAGTAAGTGCCACTGGGTTCAGTGGGACAAAATGCTGATTAGACTGTTGACGCCTGCACCAGCGAGATTCCAGCTGCATTATCTCGCTGGCGTAGGGCGAACTCTTGTTCTTGCTGTATGTACAGGTTAAGCATTAACCCCCAAAGCGTTCAAATCTATATTCCCTATTGGTGTTTCCTCAGCCCGGATGCTGCTGACAGCAGTACCTTTGACGTTCAGCTGGGAGACATCATTCTGACAGCCACAGATGGGCTCTTTGACAACATGCCAGACTACATGATCCTTCAGGAGCTTAAGAAGTTAAAGGTAACAGGGAACGTGTGAAGGAACAGGCTTGCTTGCAGGCTTACCTTACCAGGGCCAGAGAAGGAAGTTTCTGCAAAGCGCTGCTAGGTTGCCTTAGCACGTTCCAGGTGCTTCCTGGGGGTTACCTTTTGCAGCATCCCTGTAAGGTAGATCAATACCATTATGGGATTTAGACTGCTGAGAGAGAATCTTGCACCTGGCACTTACCTGGTGAGTGGGCGGAGCAATAAGATTCAGAGAAGAGATTTCTCCATTCTGTTTTCTTAAGCACTGTGCCGTTTTGATAGAAACAGACTGATGGAATGCCCTTTCTTGCTTAAATTGAATGCCAAAAGCAGTGTTTCTCAACCTTGGCAACTTGAAGATGTGTGGACTCCAACTCCTAGAATTCCCCAGCCAGCAAGGCTGGCTGGGGGATTCTATGAGTTGGGGTCCCCAACTCTTCAAGTTGCCCAGGTTGGGAAACACTGCTTTTGGCATTCAATTTAAGCAAGAAAGGGCATTCCATCAGTCTGTTTCTATCAAAACGGCACAGTGCTTAAGAAAACAGAATGGAGAAATCTCTTCTCTGAATCTTATTGCTCCGCCCACTCACCAGGTAAGTGCCAGGTGCAAGATTCT